ACTGGACCAGTTACAACCTCTACCACAGCTGTGTGTTGAGACTACAACAACTTCGCCAGGTTACAACAGAAAAGCCTGAAACTACAGTTGTAACATCCAAACCCTCTCTGGTTACCACGACTACTGAAATTACTGTAACAGAAACTGAGGGAACCACAACCAAACCTGCAGTAACAACAACATTAGCAGGAACAACAGTAAAGGTGGCAACGACAACACCACCGAAAGAAGTCACCACTGGACCAGTAACAACCTCTACCACAGCTGTGGTTGAGACTACAACAACTTCGACAGGCGTTACAACAGAAAGGCCTGAAACTACAGTTGTAACATCCAAACCCTCTGTGTTACCACACTACTGAAATTATTGTAACAGAAACTGAGGGAACCACAACCAAACCTGCAGAAAGAACAACATCTGCAGGAACAACAGTAAAGGTGGCAACGACAACACCACCTAAAGAAGTCACCACTGGCCCAGTTACAACCTCTACCAGAGCTGTTGTTGAGACTACAACACTTTGCCAGGGTTACAACAGAAAGTCCTGAAACTACAGTTGTAACATCCAAACCCTCTGTGTTTACCACAACTACTGAAATTACTGTAACAGAAACTGAGGGAACCACAACCAAACCTGCAGAAACAACAACATCATCAGGAACAACAGTAAAGAGGGCAACGACAACACCACCTAAAGAAGTCACCACTGGCCCAGTTACAACCTCTACCACAGCTGTTGTTGAGACTACAACAACTTCGCCAGGTGTTACAACAGAAAGGCCTGAAACTACAGTTGTAACATCCAAACCTCTGTGTTACCACGAACTACTGAATTATTGTAACAGAAACTGAGAACCACAACCAAACCTGCAGAAACAACAACATTAGCAGGAACAACAGTAAAGGTGGCAACGACAACACCACCTAAAGAAGTCACCACTGGACCAGTAACAACCTCTACCACAGCTGTTGTTGAGACTACAACAACTTCGCCAGGTGTTACAACAGAAAGGCCTGAAACTACAGTTGTAACATCCAAACCGTCTGTGGTTACCACGACTACTGAAATTATTGTAACAGAAACTGAGAGAACCACAACCAAACCTGCAGAAACAACAACATTAGCAGGAACAACAGTAAAGGTGGCAACGACAACACCACCTAAAGAAGTCACCACTGGACCCAGTAACAACCTCTACACAGCTGTGGTTGAGACTACAACAACTTCGCCAGGTTACAACAGAAAGCCTGAAACTACAGTTGTAACATCCAAACCCTCTGTGTTCACCACAACTACTGAAATTATTGTAACAGAAACTGAGGGAACCACAACCAAACCTGCAGAAACAACAACATCATCAGGAACAACAGTAAAGGTGGCAACGACAACACCACCTAAAAAGTCACCACTGGCCCAGTTACAACCTCTACCACAGCTGTGGTTGAGACTACAACAACTTCGCCAGGCGTTACAACAAAAGCCTGAAACTACAGTTGTAACATCCAAACCCTCTGTGGTTACCACGACTACTGAAATTATTGTAACAGAAACTGAGGGAACCACAACCAAACCTGCAGAAACAACAACATTAGCAGGAACAACAGTAAAGGTGGCAACGACAACACCACCTAAAGAAGTCACCACTGGACCAGTAACAACCTCTACCACAGCTGTGTTGAGACTACAACAACTTCGCCAGGTGTTACAACAGAAAGTCCTGAAACTACAGTTGTAACATCCAAACCCTCTGTGTTTACCACAACTACTGAAATTACTGTAACAGAAACTGAGGGAACCACAACCAAACCTGCAGAAACAACAACACATCAGCAGGAACAACAGTAAAGGTGGCAACGACAACACCACCTAAAGAAGTCACCACTGGACCAGTAACAACCTCTACCACAGCTGTTGTTGAGACTACAACAACTTCGCCAGGTGTACAACAGAAAGCCTGAAACTACAGTTGTAACATCCAAACCCTCTGTGGTTACCACGACTACTGAAATTATGTAACAGAAACTGAGGGAACCACAACCAAACCTGCAGAAACAACAACATCAGCAGGAACCAACAGTAAAGGTGGCAACGACAACACCACTAAAAAGTCACCACTGGCCCAGTTACAACCTCTACCACAGCTGTTGTTGAGACTACAACAACTTCGCCAGGTGTTACAACAAAAAGCCTGAAACTACAGTTGTAACATCCAAACCCTCTGTGTTCACCACACTACTGAAATTACCGTAACAGAAACTGAGGGAAACACCAAACCTGCAGAAACAACAACATCAGCAGGAACAACAGTAAAGGTGGCAACGAAACACCACCTAAAAAGTCACCACTGGCCCAGTTACAACCTCTACCACAGCTGTGTTGAGACTACAACAACTTCGCCAGGTTACAACAGAAAAGCCTGAAACTACAGTTGTAACATCCAAACCCTCTGTGTTACCACGACTACTGAAATTATTGTAACAGAAACTGAGGGAACCACAACCAAACCTGCAGAAACAACAACATCTGCAGGAACAACAGTAAAGGTGGCAACGACAACACCACCTAAAGAAGTCACCACTGGACCAGTACAACCTCTACCACAGCTGTTTTGAGACTACAACAACTTTGCCAGGTGTTACAACAAAAAGGCCTGAAACTACAGTTGTAACATCCAAACCCTCTGTGTTTACCACAACTACTGAAATTACTGTAACAGAAACTGAGGGAACCACAACCAAACCTGCAGAAACAACAACATCATCAGGAACAACAGTAAAGGTGGCAACGACAACACCACCTAAAGAAGTCACCACTGGACCAGTACAACCTCTACCACAGCTGTTGTTGAGACTACAACAACTTCGCCAGGTGTTACAACAGAAAGTCCTGAAACTACAGTTGTAACATCCAAACCCTCTGTGTTACCACAACTACTGAAATTATTGTAACAGAAACTGAGGGAACCACAACCAAACCTGCAGAAACAACAACATCAGCAGGAACAACAGTAAAGGTGGCAACGACAACACCACCTAAAGAAGTCACCACTGGCCCAGTTACAACCTCTACCACAGCTGTTGTTGAGACTACAACAACTTCGCCAGGTTTACAACAAAAAGCCTGAAACTACAGTTGTAACATCCAAACCCTCTGTGTTACCACGACTACTGAAATTATTGTAACAGAAACTGAGGGAACCACAACCAAACCTGCAGAAACAACAACATTAGCAGGAACAACAGTAAAGGTGGCAACGACAACACCACCTAAAGAAGTCACCACTGGCCAGTTACAACCTCTACCACAGCTGTGGTTGAGACTACAAACAACTTCGCCAGGTGTTACAACAGAAAGCCTGAAACTACAGTTGTAACATCCAAACCCTCTGTGTTACCACACTACTGAAATTATTGTAACAGAAACTGAGGGAACCACAACCAAACCTGCAGAAACAACAACATCAGCAGGAACAACAGTAAAGGTGGCAACGACAACACCACCTAAAGAAGTCACCACTGGCCGTTACAACCCTACCACAGCTGTTGTTGAGACTACAACAACTTTGCCAGGTGTTACAACAGAAAGTCCTGAAACTACAGTTGTAACATCCAAACCCTCTGTGGTTACCACGACTACTGAAATTCCTGTAACAGAAACTGAGGGAACCACAACCAAACCTGCAGAAACAACAACATCATCAGGAACAACAGTAAAGGTGGCAACGACAACACCACCTAAAGAAGTCACCACTGGCCCAGTTACAACCTCTACCACAGCTGTTGTTGAGACTACAACAACTTCGCCAGGTGTACAACAAAAAGCCTGAAACTACAGTTGTAACATCCAAACCCTCTGTGTTACCACAACTACTGAAATTACGTAACAGAAACTGAGGGAACCACAACCAAACCTGCAGAAACAACAAATCAGCAGGAACCAGTAAAGGTGGCAACGACAACACCACCTAAAAAAGTCACCACTGGACCAGTTACAACCTCTACCACAGCTGTTGTTGAGACTACAACAACTTCGCCAGGTGTTACAACAAAAAGGCCTGAAACTACAGTTGTAACATCCAAACCCTCTGTGTTCCACAACTACTGAAATTACTAACAGAAACTGAGGGAACTACAACCAAACCTGCAGAAACAACAACATCAGCAGGAACAACAGTAAAGGTGGCAACGACAACACCACCTAAAAAGTCACCACTGGACCAGTTACAACCTCTACCACAGCTGTTGTTGAGACTACAACAACTTCGCCAGGTTACAACAAAAGTCCTGAAACTACAGTTGTAACATCCAAACCCTCTGTGTTACCACAACTACTGAAATTACCGTAACAGAAACTGAGGGAACCACAACCAAACCTGCAGAAACAACAACATCAGCAGGAACAACAGTAAAGGTGGCAACGACAACACCACCTAAAAAGTCACCACTGGACCAGTTACAACCTCTACCACAGCTGTTGTTGAGACTACAACAACTTCGCCAGGCGTTACAACAGAAAGCCTGAAACTACAGTTGTAACATCCAAACCCTCTGTGGTTACCACGACTACTGAAATTATTGTAACAGAAAACTGAGGGAACCACAACCAAACCTGCAGAAACAACAACATCTGCAGGAACAACAGTAAAGGTGGCAACGACAACACCACCTAAAGAAGTCACCACTGGACCAGTTACAACCTCTACCACAGCTGTTTGAGACTAAACAACTTCGCCAGGTGTTACAACAGAAAAGCCTGAAAGTACAGTTGTAACATCCAAACCCTCTGTGTTTACCACAACTACTGAAATTACTGTAACAGAAACTGAGGGAACCACAACCAAACCTGCAGAAACAACAACATCAGCAGGAACAACAGTAAAGGTGGCAACGACAACACCACCTAAAGAAGTCACCACTGGCCCAGTTACAACCTCTACCACAGCTGTTGTTGAGACTACAACAACTTCGCCAGGTTACAACAGAAAAGCCTGAAACACAGTTGTAACATCCAAACCCTCTGTGGTTACCACGACTACTGAAATTATTGTAACAGAAACTGAGGGAACCACAACCAAACCTGCAGAAACAACAACATCAGCAGGAACAACAGTAAAGGTGGCAACGACAACACCACCTAAAGAAGTCACCACTGGCCCAGTTACAACCTCTACCACAGCTGTTGTTGAGACTACAACAACTTCGCCAGGCGTTACAACAAAAAGGCCTGAAACTACAGTTGTAACATCCAAACCCTCTGTGTTACCACAACTACTGAAATTACCGTAACAGAAACTGAGGGAACCACAACCAAACCTGCAGAAACAACAACATCAGCAGGAACAACAGTAAAGGTGGCAACGACAACACCACCTAAAGAAGTCACCACTGGACCAGTAACAACCTCTACCACAGCTGTTGTTGAGACTACAACAACTTCGCCAGGTGTTATAACAGAAAGTCCTGAAACTACAGTTGTAACATCCAAACCCTCTGTGTTTACCACAACTACTGAAATTACTGTAACAGAAACTGAGGGAACCACAACCAAACCTGCAGAAAACAACAACATCAGCAGGAACAACAGTAAAGGTGGCAACGACAACACCACCTAAAGAAGTCACCACTGGCCCAGTTACAACCTCTACCACAGCTGTTGTTGAGACTACAACAACTTCGCCAGGTTTACAACAGAAAGCCTGAAACTACAGTTGTAACATCCAAACCCTCTGTGGTTACCACGACTACTGAAATTATGTAACAGAAACTGAGGGAACCACAACCAAACCTGCAGAAACAACAACATCAGCAGGAACAACAGTAAAGGTGGCAACGACAACACCACCTAAAGAAGTCACCACTGGCCCAGTTACAACCTCTACCACAGCTGTTGTTGAGACTACAACAACTTCGCCAGGTGTTACAACAGAAAGTCCTGAAACTACAGTTGTAACATCCAAACCCTCTGTGTTTACCACAACTACTGAAATTACTGTAACAGAAACTGAGGGAACCACAACCAAACCTGCAGAAACAACAAACATCAGCAGGAACAACAGTAAAGGTGGCAACGACAACACCACCTAAAGAAGTCACCACTGGCCCAGTTACAACCTCTACCACAGCTGTTGTTGAGACTACAACAACTTCGCCAGGCGTTACAACAAAAGGCCTGAAATACAGTTGTAACATCCAAACCCTCTGTGGTTACCACGACTACTGAAATTATTGTAACAGAAACTGAGGGAACCACAACCAAACCTGCAGAAACAACAACATCAGCAGGAACAACAGTAAAGGTGGCAACGACAACACCACCTAAAGAAGTCACCACTGGCCCAGTTACAACCTCTACCACAGCTGTTGTTGAGACTACAACAACTTGCCAGGTGTTACAACAGAAAGTCCTGTAACTACAGTTGTAACATCCAAACCCTCTGTGGTTACCACGACTACTGAAATTACTGTAACAGAAACTGAGGGAACCACAACCAAACCTGCAGAAACAACAACATCATCAGGAACAACAGTAAAGGTGGCAACGACAACACCACCTAAAGAAGTCACCACTGGCCCAGTTACAACCTCTACACAGCTGTTGTGAGACTACAACAACTTCGCCAGTGTTACAACAAAAAGGCCTGAAACTACAGTTGTAACATCCAAACCCTCTGTGTTCACCACAACTACTGGAAATTACCGTAACAGAAACTGAGGGAACCCACAACCAAACCTGCAGAAAACAACAACATCAGCAGGAACAACAGTAAAGGTGGCAACGACAACACCACCTAAAGAAGTCACCACTGGACCAGTAACAACCTCTACCACAGCTGTTGTTGAGACTACAACAACTTCGCCAGGTGTTATAACAGAAAGTCCTGAAACTACAGTGTAACATCCAAACCCTCTGTGTTTACCACAACTACTGAAATTATTGTAACAGAAACTGAGGGAACCACAACCAAACCTGCAGAAACAACAACATCAGCAGGAACAAACAGTAAAGGTGATAACGACAACACCACCTAAAGAAGTCCCACTGGCCCAGTTACAACCTCTACCAACAGCTGTTGTTGAGACTACAACATCTTTGCCAGGCGTTACAACAGAAAAGCCTGAAACTACAGTTGTAACATCCAAACCCTCTGTGGTTACCACGACTACTGAAATTCCTGTAACAGAAACTGAGGGAACCACAACCAAACCTGCAGAAACAACAACATCATCAGGAACCACAGTAAAGGTGGCAACGACAACACCACCTAAAGAAGTCACCACTGGCCCAGTTTACAACCTCTACCACAGCTGTTGTTGAGACTACAACAACTTCGCCAGGTGTTTACAACAAAAAGGCCTGAAACTACAGTTGTAACATCCAAACCCTGTTGTTCACCACAACTACTGAAATTACCGTAACAGAAACTGAGGGAACTACAACCAAACCTGCAGAAACAAACAACATCAGCAGGAACAACAGTAAAGGTGGCAACGACAACACCACCTAAAGAAGTCACCACTGGCCCAGTTACAACCTCTACCACAGCTGTTGTTGAGAATAACAACAACTTCGCCAGGCGTTACAACAAAAAGGCCTGAAACTACAGTTGTAACATCACAACCCTCTGTGTTTACCACAACTCTGAAATTACCGTAACAGAAACTGAGGGAACCACAAACCAAACCTGCAGAAACAACAACATCAGCAGGAACACAGTAAAGGTGGCAACGACAACACCACCTAAAGAAGTCACCCACTGGCCCCAGTATACAACCTCTACCACAGCTGTTGTTGAGACTACAACAACTTCGCCAGGCGTTACACAGAAAAGCCTGAACTACAGTTGTAACATCCAAACCCTCTGTGTTACCACGACTACTGAAATTATTGTAACAGAAACTGGAGGGAACCACAACCAAACCTGCAGAAACAACAACATAGCAGGAACAACAGTAAAAGTGGCAACGACAACACCACCTAAAGAAGTCACCACTGGACCAGTTACAACCTCTACCACAGCTGTGGTTGAGACTAAAACAACTTCGCCAGGTGTTACAAACAGAAAGTCCTGAAACTACAGTTTGTAACATCCAAACCCTCTGTGTTTACCACAACTACTGAAATTACTGTAACAGAAACTGAGGGAAACCACAACCAAACCTGCAGAAACAACAAAATCAGCAGGAACAACAGTAAAGGTGGCAACGACAACACCACCTAAAGAAGTCACCACTGGACCAGTACAACCTCTACCACAGCTGTTGTTGAGACTACAACACTTCGCCAGGCGTTACAAACAGAAAGGCCTGAAATTACAGTTGTAACATCCAAACCCTCTGTGGTTACCACGACTACTGAAATTATTGTAACAGAAACTGAGGGAACCACAACCAAACCTGCAGAAACAACAACATCAGCCAGGAACAACAGTAAAGGTGGCAACGACACACCACCTAAAGAAGTCACCACTGGCCCAGTTACAACCTCTACCACAGCTGTTGTTGAGACTACAACAACTTTGCCAGGTGTTACAACAGAAAGTCCTGAAAACTACAGTTGTAACATCCAAACCCTCTTGTGGTTACACGACTACTGAAATTCCTGTAACAGAAACTGAGGGAACCACAACCAAACCATGCAGAAACAACAACATCATCAGGAAACCACAGTAAAGGTGGCAACGACAACACCACCTAAAGAAGTCACCACTGGCCCAGTTACAACCTCTACAACAGCTGTTGTTGAGACTACAACAACTTCGCCAGGTGTTACAACAAAAAGGCCTGAAACTACAGTTGTAACATCCAAACCCTCTGTGTTCACCACAACTACTGAAATTACCGTAACAGAAACTGAGGGAACCACAACCAAACCTGCAGAAACAACAACATCAGCAGGAACAACAGTAAAGGTGGCAACGACAACACCACCTAAAGAAGTCACCACTGGACCAGTAACAACCTCTACCACAGCTGTTGTTGAGACTACAACAACTTCGCCAGGTGTTATAACAGAAAGTCCTGAAACTACAGTTGTAACATCCAAACCCTCTGTGTTTACCACAACTACTGAAATTACTGTAACAGAAACTGAGGGAACCACAACCAAACCTGCAGAAACAACAACATCAGCAGGAACAACAGTAAAGGTGGCAACGACAACACCACCTAAAGAAGTCACCACTGGCCCAGTTACAACCTCTACCACAGCTGTTGTTGAGACTACAACATCTTCGCCAGGCGTTACAACAGAAAAGCCTGAAACTACAGTTGTAACATCCAAACCCTCTGTGGTTACCACGACTACTGAAATTCCTGTAACAGAAACTGAGGGAACCACAACCAAACCTGCAGAAAACAACAACATCAGCAGGAACAACAGTAAAGGTGGCAACGACAACACCACCTAAAGAAGTCACCACTGGCCCAGTACAACCTCTACCACAGCTGTTGTTGAGACTACAAACAACTTCGCCAGGTGTTACAACAGAAAAGTCCTGAAACTACAGTTGTAACATCCAAACCCTCTGTGTTCACCACAACTACTGAAATTACCTGTAACAGAAACTGAGGGAACCTACAACCAAACCTGCAGAAACAACAACATCAGCAGGAACAACAGTAAAGGTGGCAACGACAACACCACCTAAAGAAGTCACCACTGGCCCAGTTACAACCTCTACCACAGCTGTTGTTGAGACTACAACAACTTCGCCAGGCGTTACCACAAAAAGGCCTGAAACTACAGTTGTAACATCACAACCCTCTGTGTTACCACAACTACTGAAATTACCGTAACAGAAACTGAGGGAACCACAACCAAACCTGCAGAAACAACAACATCAGCAGGAACAACAGTAAAGGTGGCAACAACAACAACCACCTAAAGAAGTCACCACTGGACCAGTAACAACCTCTACCACAGCTGTGTTGAGACTACAACAACTTCGCCAGGTGTTACCACAGAAAGTCCTGAAACTACAGTTGTAACATCCAAACCCTCTGTGTTTACCACAACTACTGAAATTACTGTAACAGAAACTGAGGGAACCACAACCAAACCTGCAGAAACAACAACATCAGCAGGAACAACAGTAAAGGTGGCAACGACAACACCACCTAAAGAAGTCACCACTGGACCAGTTAACACCTCTACCACAGCTGTTGTTGAGACTACAACAACTTCGCCAGGTGTTATAACAGAAAGTCCTGAAACTACAGTTGTAACATCCAAACCCTCTGTGTTTACCACAACTACTGAAATTACTGTAACAGAAACTGAGGGAACCACAACCAAACTTGCAGAAACAAACAACATCAGCAGGAACAACAGTAAAGGTGATAACGACAACACCACCGAAAGAAGTCACCACTGGCCCAGTTACAACCTCTACCACAGCTGTTGTTGAGACTAACAACTCTTCGCCAGGCGTTACAACAGAAAAGCCTGAAACTACAGTTGTAACATCCAAACCCTCTGTGGTTACCACGACTACTGAAATTCCTGTAACAGAAACTGAGGGAACCACAACCAAACCTGCAGAAACAACAACATCATCAGGAAACCACAGTAAAGGTGGCAACGACAACACCACCTAAAAGAAGTCACCACTGGCCCAGTTACAACCTCTACCACAGCTGTTGTTGAGACTACAACAACTTCGCCAGGCGTTACAACAGAAAAGCCTGAAACTACAGTTGTAACATCCAAACCCTCTGTGGTTACCACGACTACTGAAATTATTGTAACAGAAACTGAGGGAACCACAACCAAACCTGCAGAAACAACAACATTAGCAGGAACAACAGTAAAGGTGGCAACGACAACACCACCTAAAGAAGTCCACCACTGGACCAGTAAACACCTCTACCACAGCTGTGGTTGAGACTACAACAACTTCCACAGGTGTTACAACAGAAAGTCCTGAAACTACAGTTGTAACATCCAAACCCTCTGTGGTTACCACAACTACTGAAATTACTGTAACAGAAACTGAGGGAACCAACAACCAAACCTGCAGAAACAACAACCTCATCAGGAACAACAGTAAAGGTGGCAACGACAACACCACCAAAAGAAGTCACCACTGGACCAGTAACAACCTCTACCACAGCTGTTGTTGAGACTACAACAACTTCGCCAGGCGTTACAACAGAAAGGCCTGAAACTACAGTTGTAACATCCAACCCCTCTGTGTTCACCACAACTACTGAAATTACTGTAACAGAAACTGAGGGAACTACAACCAAATCTGCAGAAACAACAACATCAGCAGGAACAACAGTAAAGGTGGCAACGACAACACCACCTAAAGAAGTCACCACTGGCCCAGTTACAACCTCTACCACAGCTGTTGTTGAGACTACAACAACTTCGCCAGGTGTTACAACAGAAAGTCCTGCAACTACAGTTGTAACATCCAAACCCTCTGTGTTTACCACAACTACTGAAATTACTGTAACAGAAATTGAGGGAACCACAACCAAACCTGCAGAAACAACAACATCAGCAGGAACAACAGTAAAGGTGGCAACGACAACACCACCTAAAGAAGTCAACACTGGACCAGTAACAACCTCTACCACAGCTGTTGTTGAGACTACAACAACTTCGCCAGGTGTTACAACAGAAAGGCCTGAAACTACAGTTGTAACATCCAAACCCTCTCTGGTCACCACAACTACTGAAATTACTGTAACAGAAACTGAGGGAACCACAACAAAACCTGCAGAAACAACAACATCAGCAGGAACAACAGTAAAGTTTTCAACGACAACACTACCTAAAGAAGTCACCACTGGACCATTTACAACCTCTACCAAAGCTCTTGTTGAAACTACGACCTCAGTTTTAGGTGCCACAACAACTATTATAGTCACAGGAAAGCCACAAACATCAACAATAATTACACAACCTTTTATTTTCAACACAACTGTTGTGGCTTCAACTATAACTACAGGAGTAACAGCTAAAGCTACAACTTCCATTGGCCCAATAACACCAGAAGGGACCAGAACTGTTTATACTACTGGGCAAGCCGAAACCACAGTTCTTTCCACACCATCACGTTTAACAACAACAACAACTTCATGTGTTTGCATCGTCAATGGGACATCACACCAGCCTGGTAAGTTATTCTTAATGTTCCATTATATCATTATCTTGTTTTTTGTAATCATGTATTCTCTTCACAGAATGTGCAGGACAACCTTTGTTTTTCCCTTTTCCGATAGTCTTTTCTTTGTTCCAAATTATTATTTTTTTACCAAAGTAAAAGTACAAAAGTATTTAATTATTTCATACATTTAGTCTGTAATATAAAGAGAAACCAGCATTTTTTCAATTCAATGTTGATAAAGACATCATTACAAAGTGTGTCAAGCTTGTTTAACAATACAATTAATATACAAAAAAATGAAAAAAGTTGTATGTATGTTGCATCTCATAAATAAATAAAAAACTACATGTTGATAACATAAAATAGGGATTTGTCAACTTTACAAGATAGATTATTCATGGTTCAGTTTGTCAGGCTAATGTAATGCATACTTGTTTTTATTTTTAAATAAAAGCCGCCTTTACCAAACATGGCCTCTTGCCTTAATTTTATTTTCCGTTTTTGGTCTGAACAATTCTTTTGAATCAGAAATACCTTTGTTTGATGTAACATTTATCTCCACTCTGAATTTCACAGGGGACTTGGTGTACAATGTCACTGATGGCTTAGACTGGTGCTACGTTGCATATTGCAATGCATCTTGTAAAGTTGAGATCCAATCCTCTTCATGTACCACTACACCAATACCCAGCACAACCGCACAGTCTACCACTTCTTTGTTTGGCACCACTACAAAGGCAACAATTGCTTCCACCACATCTATTACTATCCCTTCATCCACTCCCTCAACGACCCCAGTGGACTGCAATGATGAGTATCCACCAAGAAAGGTGTGATAAAGATACAATGTTGTTTTAGTCATGATTGTGTTTTTAAACATTTTAGTTAGACGGTAGCCATTTTATGTCCAAGAATCCAAAATAGAGCCTTTTATCGCAAACAATTATTTTTATAATTGTATAATTAACTCGCAATTCCCATACAGAATGGAGAGTCATGGATGCTCAGCAACTGCACCACAGCTACCTGCAACTATGGCACAATCACAAAGACACCTACTAAATGTCCCACAGCACAACAGCCCATATGCGTCAATGGACGCCAAGCTTACAAAGTCTACGATGATAACGGGTGCTGCTTCCACCATGAATGTGAATGTAAGTAGCAATTTCAACTTTACAATACAGTTGACCAATTTGGACTTTATATACAGTAGATGATCTTGTGTCATTGTTCTCACCCTACATTATTTTTAGCAATTCATAGAAATGGCAATATAAACTAGAAAGCACTGAGAGCCAGATTTAGTAAAGCAACAACCAATCACGTAGTTAGCTGAACGAATCCTGGAACAGCGCTCCACACTCATTCTGAGAGTAAATAAAAACACTTAAAGAATCTGACCTTACTAAACATAGCAAAATATGGATCAGCCAAAATGTATCCTATTATTTGCATGAAAATGATGAAAGAGGCGCACTTTGCAAACACGTGCTTGAATGACATGCAATCTGCAACTTAAGCCTAGTGTATAAGCTTCATAGATAATGCAACACAAATGTTAATTAAAACGCTATTTCTATTCATGTGCATACCACTGCCAATTAACCACATTCCTCTTTCTAAGATAAATGTATTCATCTAAAATTGAACATTTTGAAAATGTGTAGACATAACTGCTTCAGTAGTACCTCTTAAGTGCTACTCAATGGATTTTGAAGTCAAATTCAATTTCCAATAAACAGACGTGGCGTTGGAGATAAATATGTTTTCTGCTTGGTTCAGTTGATACACATCATTTTCTTAAATCTCTTTTGTTTTTCTGCAGGTGTATGCAGTATCTTGGCTCAAAACCACTACATAACTTTCGATGGAGAATTATTCAATTTCAAGGAGAACTGCTCTTACTACCTGGTCAAAGAAATGATTACGAGATATAACCTGACTATTATTGTAAACAACCATGACTGTGAGCCTTCAGATGTCACATTCTGTCCCCAGACTCTCACTATAACCTACCGATCCTACACAGTTGTTTTGTCTCAGTTGAAGATTGGAGGAATAGCAACTAATGCGGTAATCACGCTTTCAAATTGTCAAATGTATTTGTCGTTCTTCAGAATCACAATCAGAATACCTTTATTAGTCCCACAGAGGGGAAATTAACATTGTTACAGCAGAAAATTGCCAAAGACAGCTTAATGTTACCTAAGTAGCATGCATACATTTTTTCTTTTTAAGATTTAAAAAGAAATTATAATAAAAAAAAGTTACACAATTACAAAAAACACATCCTGTGACAGTTCTGATGATTTAGCAGCCAGGTATATATATTGCACAGTCAGTTATTATCGGCATATATATATATAGCACATATTGCACATAGTTGGTGGTTAACAGCAAGGAGTGTTATTATAGTCAGTGTTGTTGTGTGTGTAGGGGTCTTCTAGGGGCCGTATGGGTTACTTGTGTTACTCTCACATGGGCGGCGCCAGGATTTGTTTGCTGCAGTTGCTATATGACAGCATGGCGTTGCTAGTTAATTTTCCAAATAAATAAACAAACAATAGGCCTACCAGTGGGCCAAGCACGAGCCTGTTCATATTGTAGCGTTCACCGCTATTCAAAATCACAGATCACTCGAGCCTTCAATGTCGAAAACGTTCTCTTTATTTTCTGGTATTGACGGCCACAGCCACGCCTTACAGAACCAATCAATAGTATAACACTCATTATGACTTTTCCCCACACTCGAAGACAACTCCTACCGTCTGTACTCCCTCCACACACACACCTGGAAGGGGCAGTCTCTCCCTAACTCCCACAAACAACATTGCCTAAATAACTTTACAAATGTACTAAACTGTGCACATCTGATAACTGACATAACTATTAACTTGGACACGCTACAATATTATCATTCATATTTACATTAAAACATTCCTTTGACACTTATAACATTACTTTGCAAGGTAAGCACAACCAAAATAAGTGTATAAAAGCAGAATTTGAACACTTTTTCTGTGCTCCTACAATATTTTTGTATAATACCATTACACCCTGAGCGTACAAGTACACAATAGCGATCGTTCACTGTTTCAACTGGCATGCTGTGGCATTTAACCTCATCACCACGCCGCAAACTGACAGACGCACACACACACACACACACACATACACACACACACACACACACACACACACACAACACACCACACACACACACACACACACACACACACACACACACACACACACACGGATAGCAGGGTTGTCCGTTGGAGATCCCGGTCGTTTACGCTGACTTGTGAGAAATCTTTCCATTTTCGATTTGTGTTCACATACTGAGAATTATAACAACATTAGCCAAGTAACAGTTCACGCTTTAACTTACAACGACCCCTGATAGATCTCGCGAGAATGTGTATAAATATATATATACAGTATACATTTTCATAACAAAACAATGGGGTTGCTAAGCCGTTGCTAGGCCAATTGTTGGAGTTGCTATAGCAACTCCAAGCTACCCCCTGGCGCCGCCCCTGCTCTCTCATGTCATTCATTATTTTGAGAGTGCTAAATGAGTGGTTATTGTGCCAACCAAAGTTATGTGTTTCATGTTATTGTTTGAAATGATACAGTCTCCTCTAATGTGTTTTGTGTCCTTGTCCTACAGGTGTATGTGAATCAGAAACGTACATTTCCCGCCTTCAGAAATTCTGTTCTATACATCACTAGCACAGATATGGTGATAACATTGGAGATACCAGAGCTCAACACAGAAGTGGTCTATACGGGTTCCTCAATCAGTATTGACCTACCTTACACCCTCTTTGGCGGGAACACTGAGGGACAGTGCGGTGAGTGACACCTTAAATAATTGCATTAAGGAAATAATAAACATTTCAATGCCACTCATAACCGGAGTGCACCCGAGAGCTGCTTGTTGCACTGACACTGGCAGCCGGTGGTAACTGTAAGAAGGCCCTAATGTTGATAGAAGAATAGCCAATGCAACAGTTCACCGATCTGGAAGAAACCGAATGATCAGGAGAACACCCATTACTGTATGTCTTTACAAACAGGATAAAACTAGTATGTGGTACAGCTAACACACATTCTGAAAATCTAGAGGGCAAAACTAAAGTGTAAATTCGAGTCGACAGTCTAACACTGCTAAAGAGACTTTTATATTCAAATAAATGTTTAGAGTAAAAAGAAGGATTTTACCGTGTTGGAACTTCAACTCAGCTGTCTGGAATCAACAGACAAAGACAGAACAAGACATGCCATGTCAGCAGTCATATTAGAGCATATGAGCATGAAAGCATGCTGTTGCATGTGATGACCTGGCAATGTGTCTAGGGTGTGCCCTGTCTCTTGCCTCTCACATCAGGATGGGTGGATGTATTAACCCTAACCATTATCATAACAGCTAGTTCTTGTATGAGCCCAAAAACGTCGCCTTCATTCTCCTGTATCTTTTTCCAGGGACCTGTGATAACTCACAGAACAATGACTGTCGCTCTCCAAACGGCCAGGTGGAAAGCTGCTCAGACTCCGCAGGCCAGTGGCTTGTCCCAGGCACACCGTGTGTTATCCCCACAACCCCATCTACAACGACAAAACCCACAACCACCTCAAAACCAGCAACCACAACGCAGCCCCCTTGCAAACCTGCTATTTGTAATATCCTAACAAGCAGGTGAGAAGAACCACCAAATATTCAAAAACGTCTTTAACGTCTTCAAATAATGTATTTACTGAAAGTAACAATGACAACTACAGGGCTTGGTAGAAAGAAAGACGGTTCAATTATAGCTCAAGTCTTCAATATAATCTGAAGATTACAAAAATACTAATATATCAACATTTCATATTGACATAAACTGGGCAAAAGTATTGAGGGATTTTCTTTGACTAAGAAGCCCAGACCTTTATTTAACTAAAACTTGACAAAAACAAAGAGGTTGACGTTGACTATACAATACACACATACTGTACAGTACTTACTGAGCCACAGCACCCCAAGACATTTGATCAAACTATTAGTCCAACCAACACTGTTCCAGTAATAGTTACTTGATGATAAAAATAAGAAAACAATTTAAAGTAAGAGAATAAGGGTTGAGAAAAAGTATGTAATCTTTACTGAAATGCATGCTGAGTTATTCGATTGCCTTCCTTCACATCTTAGATTATGTTTATATTTTTCGTATTACTTCCCCTGACTTCTGTACTGGCTTGTATGTTCCTTCTAGCGTTTTCAAGGCATGCCACACAGTCATACCTCCGGGACCATTTGTGAAATACTGTGTGTCTGACAATTGCAACAGTGACAATAACACCTGCACCAGCCTGGAGGCCTATGCCACTGAGTGCTCTAATGAAGGAGTCTGTATCGACTGGAGGAATGCGACCAATGGGCGCTGTGGTAAGATAAAGTCAATAGGGTATATAAGTATAGGTGTTGCATGGAGTTTTGATACAATGTGTATATAAACATGTTTCACTTTTACAGAGCACAGGTGTCCAAAAAACAAAGTGTACAAGGCCTGTGGGACCAGCGTAGAGCCTACATGCAATGACAGGTAACAAATGTGATCTTTGATGATTGTTTTTATAGCTTTAGAGATCTTAACATTTGCACACCACTTCCCTGGTGTATATGCAAACTGTTCCCTTATCAAGAATACATTATGTTGATTGTCTCTAGTGAATGTCAGTTTTTTATGTTGGCAGGGTGTGACAAGGATAAACTCGTATCCAAGCCCTATTGAGTGTCAATTCCTAAAAAACATTTACACTGTGTGCACAATTATTAGGCAAGTTGTATTTTTTAGGGTTATTTTAATTATTGAACAACTACAGTGCTCTGGGTCAATCCAAAATGTTAATGAAACTCAAACCTGAATATATAAGAAAGTAAGAGAGGTTTTGGCTGTGCACAATTATTGGGCAACTATTAGAGTGCATAATTAATATGCAACTAAAGGGAAAACGAATATTTTCCATCTCACATGTTAAAGTGAGAATAATAAACAAACAACTCAAAATGTACAAATTAACTTCTTGACAAAAAAAAGAAAACAAAAGAACAGGCAATATACCAATATAGCCACCCTTCTTTTCAATAACGATCACAAGCCTTCCATTCATTGAGTCTGTCAGATTCTTGATCTGTTGACGATCAACCACAGCCTCCCAGACTCTGTTCAGAGAGGTGTTCTTTAAGGCCTTTACTGGCTAGCCACCAGTGGACTACTTCGATGCATGCGATTGAGCATTCTCCTGCATAAAATCATGGTCTTCCTGAAAGATGTAGACTGTTCCCTGTACCACTGATGGAAGAAAGTGTCTTTTAAAAACCGGCAGTAGCTTCAAGAGTTGAATTTGCGTCCATCTTCAACCCAAAAAGGTCCAACAAGCTCATCTTTAATAATACCAGCCCATACCAGAACCCAGTCTCCACCTTTTTGGTGTTGAAGAGGAGCTCTGGGCCCGGTACTGATCCAGCCGCGGGCCCATCCATCTGGTCCGTCAAGAGTCACCCTCATCTCATCAGTCCAGAAAACTTCAGATATTTCTGGGCCCAGTCTTGATGTTTGAACTCATGTGTCTTGTTCAGTGGTAGTTTCAGCCTTCCTTACCTTGGCCATGTCTCTGAACACCTGAGACTTCTGGGCCCTTCAGGTAGGTCACAGTTTTAGAATATGACAGCAGTGCAGAGTAATGGGTTCCATCACCAAATGGCAGACCGCCGACCCGGACCCAGACGCCGACCTATACAGACCCGGACCTATAATCAATAAATGATTATGGGATTTTCAGTTCTGATGGGGCGCTTCTATTCTAACCGGCGCTGAGCGGGGGCGAAAGAGAGTGAACGATACAGAGAGAGAAACACAGAAGAAGAGACGAGCGAGCGGCAGACAGGGGGAGAAGAATAAGTACACATGGCGCTCTCTAAGAAGAGGAAAGTGGACAGTGAAAACAGAGCTTTAACCCAGAATGGACAGACTCATCCATGTTCATCCTGCCACTGGGAGCACAGAACCAGTGTGTCTCATACGCTCAGAGACGTGGCGCTCATTAAAAGTGCCAATATACCCACTCGAGTCTGAACTGAGGTCAATAAGCAGATTTTAGTTCCTGGCAGGACAAACTAGAGCTCAGTTCTCTCACTGAACAAAAGAAAGTGGGGGGTGGGATATAAAAGGGACAGAGAAACTGTCAAACTGTTCAATTGTTAAGATGTGTTGAGACTGAGTCAAAATGTGACACAGTTGTTGAATTCAAGATGAATACCCCTGATATAGGGTGTTGGATCTCCTTTCACCCTCTTTCATATGCTTTATACAGATTGGAATTGAAAATATGCATTCAAATTATGATATGGTCAAAATACAAATGTGCCTAATAATTGTGCACACAGTTTAGAGTCCTTTCATCACTGTATTAACCAGTTATTAAATTTCTGAAATCAGATACAACAAGAAGTTCGAGACAGGTAGTGAAGCATCCACTAACAACACCAAAGAGGGCTGCTTCTGTCCTACTGGCACCGTCTTATTCAACCCTGTCTATGACACATGTGTTGCCTCCTGTGGTAAGAGCAGATCCTATATCCTAGTTCTGACTGCGTCATCAAATATTTGTTTCTTAAAACCTGAAGCACACCTTCATTTAAAATTGACTTGTTCCTTTTGGAATTTCAGATTGTGTTGGACCTGATGGTAGACCCAAAGAGGTAATATATAAATGTGTATATAGATAATATATAAATGTGTAAATAGATAAAATGTCACATATACAGTATATATATATATATATGTCATACAATCAGGTACACTAGCAAAGCATGAGCTGAGTGTCTCAACTGTGTCCTATCGTAAACAGCCTGGTGATACATGGATAAGTGGCTGCAACATATGTGAGTGTGACAACGATTCCATGAGCATCCAGTGTGAGCCTGCCACCTGCCCCACAGTGCAGAGCCCTGTCTGCAGCGGGCCGGGTCAGCAGCTGGTCAACAAAACAGAAGGCTGCTGCACAACACAGTCCTGCGGTCAGTTGAAGTTTCACAGAGTTAGATTTGATTCTGTTACTTTGTGTTGTCAACAAATGAATGTCTTACAAAGACAGAGCTGCCAGCTTTCTTTTGATGGAATCAGTGAAGAATCAGACTGACTGATCCCCTGCCTGGAAATATGCTGACTTCAACAATCCACTTATACTGACATGATATTGATGTCTATCTGAGAACTTATGCAGTGTTTGAGGTGTTTATTACATGTTCAAATTATTTTGAATACTGAATCATCACCACCATTGACTTAAAGCTTTTGCAGAAGCTTCCGTTGCTGTTGAGAGAAACTGCCACTGTTAGCTCACTTGTAGTATGAATATATACAAATGTTACAGCACGTTTGGTGGTGGTAGATTTCCTAATCTAATTAACATTGCTCATAGGCCTGTTTTGTAGCACAGTCAAATAACAGACTTATGGAAAGGGAGCCATTGCTTACTGATATACATACTGAAATGTATAAAGTACACTACATAACATTAATTTAATTGAAACCTGTATCCAAGACAACTCACAAAAAGTGCATCCAACCATGTACAACCCCCAAACGTTTAGGAATAATGCCAAGAAGTTTTTTTAAGCCAAGGTTTAGTCAGTTTGTATTGTACAAAGAAATATGTGTATAGCTCATTCTGTCCTAATATCAACAGGTTGAAAGAAGCATTTTTCTGTGAGCTTCAGAAGCTATTGTGATGTGATTGTTTAACCATGATTGAACATAGCAGTCCGTCAATGGCCATTGGAATATGGTACTGATAAAATGGCACAATATGGGTCTTACTTGAGTATTGATTCTTCTTAATCACCTACAATTTTGTGTATGTTGTGTTTTTCGCTTCCCCTAATGCTATATACATTTTATATTTATTGATGTATGTATACAAAAATGCATTTAGGGGGAAAAATCCATTAAATGTATTCACATACATACATCACACATAGCAGCATGTACAGGCTTTAAGATTGTGAAAAAGAATCCCTTAAGAACCACACCAGTGTTGTTTGCTAATGATATATCATTGACATTAAGGCAAGCTTCTTTTCATAGCAAATGTGCGTGTTTGAGATAGAAGGATATGTTTTCTTCCCATCAAGCGGTGGATTTGTTTTTTTTCTTACATGGTTAAATAATATGGGATATCTCCTCCATCACAATATTGATTCTCCTCTTGTTGCTCAAGGTTATGAGCAAGGCCTTTAATAGAGCTGCTGAGTGTTGAGCACATCACACAGCCATCAGGTGTGAGTGTGTTGAATTGATTTAGTGCCTTTCTCTCAACAGTCTCCCACTGAAACTTGCAGGACTGCTGTTATGGTTCTTTAAGTTATTGTTATAAAAGGTCAATTGAAACTGATTTCTACATCCATATATAATTATCTCATCCCTTTGTGCCATACAGAGTGCAATGTAAACCTGTGTCCACAACCAATCACCTGCCCAGTGGGCTTCCAACGCAACGATACCAGCGGCACCTGCTGCCAGTCCTACGAGTGTGGTATGTGACTTTACTTTATCATCGTAGGATTATCTGCTAACAAAACAACAAAACAAAAACAGCAATGAGCTCTGCTGTGGATGTATGTAAGATTGCCTTTAAATGTTAGTTCAAAACTTGAATGCAATCCTAAACATCCTAATTGCATTCAAGTTTTGAACTAACATTTAAAGGCAATCTTACATACATCCACATCCACAGCAGTCAAAGCCTTCTATATACTTTTATTGTCCTGAAATCATTTGCGGTCCAAAAACTTTTAAAGAGTTCATAATATTTTCTTTATCTGATTTTTAGATGCATTTTCCGATTCTGTGAAGGCAGACAAATACTGTCCAGGCTTCAATCCGGCTATTCAATGTTGAAATGAAATAACATTAATTTACACATTTTAATATTTGTTCACAATATATTGCTTAAAAAGTACATCTGAAAGAAATAATGTTCACATTTAGGGATTTTTACAAAAATGACAGTTACCCAGTAACATAAATAGAACATCAATATGCATTCAGTAAAAAGGTACACAGCCTAGCTAACTCATAGCTCTTTGTTTTTGCAGTTCCTAAAGGTGTATGTGTCTATGACATGAATGAGTACAAGGTAAGTCCAAACCCCATATACCAATATAGCTACTACATCATTGTGTGATTGCCTGAAATAGCAGAAACATTTCCATTAGCCGTATTAACCCACAGCCTGTTAGACTGATTTCATCAGCTCTTTGTGAGAAATTACATAAATACAAGAGGCACAGTTGGTATGACGTGCTGCCAGTAACTAGAAACACTTGTTTTCACTTTTGACTCCATTAAAATATTATGATGCAGTATTAGAATCACCAAAATGTACCTGTCCATCTTTATTACTTATGTTAACCTATCTTTTTACAAGTCAGAATGTACATGAAACTGACCAGTTCAGAAAGGCGACAATGGATCCTTCAGTACTTAGTCCATGAATCCTGAAATAAGCACATGCAGGGTATCTTCCATAGAATAATGAACAGATGTTTGAGAGTAACTAATCAATTTGTACTCTAAATATATGTGTATTCTACAGCCTGGTGAAAAAATACCAACAGAAACAACAACAGAAACAACACCAGAACCACCATTAGAACCGCCATCAACATCACCACCAACAACAACAGAACAACCACCTGGAACAACAGCACCATCAGGAGCAGGACAACCTTCAGGAACAACAACAGCACCATCAGGAGCAGGACAACCTTCAGGAACAACAACAGCACCATCTGGAGCAGGACAACCTTCAGGAACCACAACCTCCCCAGCAGGAGCAGGACAACCTTCAGGAACAACAACCTCCCCATCTGGAGCAGGACAACCTTCAGGAACAACAACAGCACCATCAGGAGCAGGACAACCTCCAGGAACCACAACCTCCCCATCAGGAGCAGGACAACCTTCAGGAACCACAACCTCCCCATCAGGAGCAGGACAACCTTCAGGAACAACAACCTCCCCATCAGGAGCAGGACAACCTTCAGGAACCACAACCTCCCCATCAGGAGCAGGACAACCTTCAGGAACAACAACCTCCCCATCAGGAGCAGGACAACCTTCAGGAACAACAACCTCCCCATCAGGAGCAGGACAACCTTCAGGAACAACAACCTCCCCATCAGGAGCAGGACAACCTTCAGGAACCACAACCTCCCCATCAGGAGCAGGACAACCTTCAGGAACAACAACCTCCCCATCTGGAGCAGGACAACCTTCAGGAACAACAACCTCCCCATCAGGAGCAGGACAACCTTCAGGAACAACAACCTCCCCATCAGGAGCAGGACAACCTTCAGGAACCACAACCTCCCCATCAGGAGCAGGACAACCTTCAGGAACAACAACCTCCCCATCAGGAGCAGGACAACCTTCAGGAACAACAACCTCCCCATCAGGAGCAGGACAACCTTCAGGAACCACAACCTCCCCATCAGGAGCAGGACAACCTTCAGGAACAACAACCTCCCCATCTGGAGCAGGACAACCTTCAGGAACAACAACCTCCCCATCTGGAGCAGGACAACCTTCAGGAACAACAACAGCACCATCAGGAGCAGGACAACCTTCAGGAACAACAACCTCCCCATCTGGAGCAGGACAACCTTCAGGAACAACAACAGCACCATCAGGAGCAGGACAACCTTCAGGAACAACAACCTCCCCATCAGGAGCAGGACAACCTTCAGGAACCACAACCTCCCCATCAGGAGCAGGACAACCTTCAGGAACCACAACCTCCCCATCGGGAGCAGGACAACCTTCAGGAACAACAACAGCACCATCAGGAGCAGGACAACCTTCAGGAACAACAACAGCACCATCAGGAGCAGGACAACCTCCAGGAACCACAACAGCACCATCAGGAGTAGGACAACCTTCAGGAACAACAACCTCCCCATCAGGAGCAGGACAACCTTCAGGAACAACAACAGCACCATCAGGAGCAGGACAACCTTCAGGAACAACAACCTCCCCATCAGGAGCAGGACAACCTTCAGGAACCACAACCTCCCCATCAGGAGCAGGACAACCTTCAGGAACCACAACCTCCCCATCGGGAGCAGGACAACCTTCAGGAACAACAACAGCACCATCAGGAGCAGGACAACCTTCAGGAACAACAACAGCACCATCAGGAGCAGGACAACCTCCAGGAACCACAACAGCACCATCAGGAGCAGGACAACCTTCAGGAACAACAACAGCACCATCAGGAGCAGGACAACCTTCAGGAACAACAACCTCCCCATCAGGAGCAGGACAACCTTCAGGAACCACAACAGCACCATCAGGAGTAGGACAACCTTCAGGAACAACAACAGCACCATCAGGAGCAGGACAACCTTCAGGAACAACAACCTCCCCATCAGGAGCAGGACAACCTTCAGGAACAACAACAGCACCATCAGGAGCAGGACAACCTTCAGGAACAACAACAGCACCATCAGGAGCAGGACAACCTTCAGGAACAACAACCTCCCCATCTGGAGCAGGACAACCTTCAGGAACAACAACCTCCCCATCTGGAGCAGGACAACCTTCAGGAACCACAACCTCCCCACCAGGAGCAGGACAACCTTCAGGAACAACAACAGCACCATCTGGAGCAGGACAACCTTCAGGAACAACAACAGCACCATCAGGAGCAGGACAACCTTCAGGAACCACAACCTCCCCACCAGGAGCAGGACAACCTTCAGGAACAACAACCTCCCCATCAGGAGCAGGACAACCTTCAGGAACAACAACAACAGCACCATCAGGAGCAGGACAACCTTCAGGAACAACAACCTCCCCATCTGGAGCAGGACAACCTTCAGGAACAACAACCTCCCCATCAGGAGCAGGACAACCTTCAGGAACCACAACCTCCCCATCAGGAGCAGGACAACCTTCAGGAACAACAACCTCCCCATCAGGAGCAGGACGACCTTCAGGAACCACAACCTCCCTATCGGGAGCAGGACAACCTTCAGGAACAACAACAGCACCATCAGGAGCAGGACAACCTTCAGGAACAACAACAGTACCATCAGGAGCAGGACAACCTTCAGGAACCACAACCTCCCTATCGGGAGCAGGACAACCTTCAGGAACAACAACAGCACCATCAGGAGCAGGACAACCTTCAGGAACAACAACAGTACCATCAGGAGCAGGACAACCTTCAGGAACCACAACCTCCCTATCGGGAGCAGGACAACCTTCAGGAACAACAACAGCACCATCAGGAGCAGGACAACCTTCAGGAACAACAACAGCACCATCAGGAACATCGGGACCTTTCACACCAAAACCTTGCCAGGAGTGTTTCTGTGGCCCCAAAATGGATCCCATCACTAGGTTGAACATCGTTAACTGCAGACCTGTTGTTTGCAACACAAAATGCTCCAAAGTAAGATATACTTACAAACACAGACACACTCAATTGTATTACTTTTTTATTTATTCATCTACTGTCTATTGATAAAGTGTTGAATATCTATTAAACATAAAATCCCAGTTATGTTTTCCAGCTTTCATATCAAGTTCCCTTCCATAGATGCTCTATTCATTTGAAATGCTAATCACAAATCGTAGCTGCACATGGACACATAAGTGAACATCCACACCTTCACACACATTGTACCTTTGTCTTACAAGGCCAAAGGACTCACTCTCTTTGTCTCTTTTTACAGGGTTATGAATATCAGACCGTAGATGGAAAGTGCTGCGGGAAATGTGTTCAGAAAAGCTGCATTTTCACCACACAAGACAACACAACACATATCCTTGAGGTCGGTCCCACAGCTGTGCGAGTGTTTCCTCACATTTTTGCTGACCAGGAGTATGAGAAAATGAATGGCACTCGTAGCAGACGTGTACAACCTGAATTAGATAGTTGATATTAACAGTAAACATGATTTTGTATATTTCAAAGTAAAAAATAATACTTAACTTATATTTTTCATAAATGTGAAAACTATTGGTGGTCTTTTTCTTCTACAGTAAGTAGTGTTTGTGAATGAGGCCAAATTAACCACCCTTGTTGAATATCTGACTGAGTTTCTGCTCATGCCATTGGTACAGGTCAACAACACCTTTATTCCCACGAATGACAAGTGTGTGAAATATACCTGTGAGAAGATGAATGGACCTCTTGTTATCAAGGAGACCAAGACCACCTGTTCTCCCTTTAACCCCTTGGACTGTGAACCTGTAAGTTTATCTTACCATTAACCCCCCTTCAACCACCCAACTGTCCAACCCCAAACATGACGTGTCTTTTTTTTAATGCAGGGCACTGAGACTACTGACACTACTGGATGCTGCAAAACCTGTAAGTTAGTGGAGTCAAAGTATTTTAATAATGTCTACTAAATCCAAAATGATCATTTGGTTTTAAAGATGGGAAGCATCAGAGGAAATATCTGGGAATCATGTGCCATTGTTAGAGCCTAACAGTTGCTGTGTGTTCCAGGCAAGCGGAAGAGCGTCTGTGAGATGAAGAGTAACCTAACAGTCATGGAAGTTAACGGCTGCAAGAGTGCGCAGCCGCTCAACATTACATCCTGCGTTGGACTCTGTGGAAGCTCGTCTAAGTGAGTATTTTTAGCACCTAATTTGAATGTTCACTTAATCGGAAGAATCCACCTAGTTTCATCGAAATCTGAAGGGCAGCTCTTTCTGGTGTGACAAGAAAGTGAATTATATCAGTTTTTTGTGAAGGTTGACTGTCAGCAGTGCCTCACTGCACTCACACTTTCCTAATTCACTGTGAACTCGCCTGTCAAAGGGCCCAGTTATGGTGGCACCGGAAAGGCCTCATTCAACATGAATAATCTGGCCCTGGTTCGAAAGGTTTGTCACTTTTTGCTAGATTAACGTGTTGTGAAGGCCAAAGGTAGAATTGCCCTGTCAGAAAAAATGTAAATAAACACCGTGTCAGCACAATACAAGTAACAATAATGAGGACTTACAACAAGTATCTAATATTAAGACAGGGCAACAGTATTAGATTATTTATATATTTTCTGATCAAGTCACTGGCCGTTGAAGGAGCTGTTATTTTCGACGCAGAGGGTAAACACTGTTGTCTGTTTGTGTGTAGATATTCTGCGGCAGCTAACAAGATGATGCACCAGTGTGAGTGTTGCCAAGAGGCGAGCGTCAGTAAGAAGAGTGTGGAGCTGACTTGTGCTGATGGCTCAAAGGTGAACCACAGCTACACTGCAGTGGATACGTGCAGCTGCAGAAAAGCAGACTGTGTGCCTGGGACCACGTCAGAATCATTTCGCCGCAGGAGACGCTGATCAGTCCCTGACACTGCTGTCCACCCCACAGAAACCTTAGAAACACTGAGCAACAATTAACCGTCGATTTTCTTATTCTAGTCAGGTTTATTATTTATAGCTCAAAATGTGCTCTTTTCCATTGTCTACTGGGATGTAAACTTTCTTGGATGATTATTAATAAAATGATACTTCTGCAATTTGAATAGTGGTTTTGACTCTCTTATTGATCCCTTTGGAATTATTAATATGAACAATAACTCATTATGATGATGTTTGATTGTTTAATAAATCGTTTTGAAAGCATCTATAAAACATAGATAATTATAGTTGGTCAATGATTAGGGCAAGGGCAAGATTAGTTTCTGGGTTATCTATCTTTGTAATAACAACACATCTGATATAAAACATATATAAGTCTCCAAAACACATTTTCAGCTCTGCACCCAATTTTCAATTATACACATGGATTTGTTTGCAACCCACTGCACACGGTTGTCTTTTTCAGACACAGACATATTCACTTGTTTACACTACCATTACAAATTAACTCATGAACTAGTACGCAAATACATGTGCCATTGGCAGGGCCGGACTGAGACAATAAGTAAGGCCAGGAATTATACACCCAGCAGGCCAGTACCAGTGTTCTTTTTGGTGTTTTGCTGGATGTATTTGTCAATATTTAAAGCATTGCTGCCCATAGTGATAGCCCTTTAGTTTAAATCTCACTAACATCAATAACTTGTCCGACTGTGGACTGTCTGCCCTGTACCTGCAAGTTCTTCTGTGCTGGTGGTTCTACTACCCAAATAGAAATGAAATGGACAATAATTTCTATTTAAAAAAAGTGTGCCTTTGTATTTGATAACCGATCCATGTGAACATGTTTCAAGTGGGGGTGGACCTCAAGTCCTCTAGGGGGGCGGGGGGCATGCTTCCACGGGAAGATTTATTTATTTATTTTGCACTTTGAGGGCAAAATAAAGAGACAAGATCTATGGAAAGAGAACACATTTAAATAATCATAACATCGTACAAATATGGCCATAACTAATAAAATACCATATACAATAGCAAAACATTGAAACATGTTTATTTTTGGGTTCATTTATAGTTGCGAGTGTGTCTGGGCTCCTGCCTCTCCTGTCTCTCTCCTCTCCCCCTACCCCTGTGACGCAGCAATAAAGATTAGTTTTAGCTCTCAACAAGTTTTTAAAGTGTATCGATGGTGATCACTTCAATGTGCCTCACGGTGGCTCTCTCGTGAATGAGAGCAGGGTAAGGGGTAGGTATAAGGTTCCTCGTACGGGGGCCTTGTATGTTGTTTTTTGTTCTGAAGGGGTTCTATACGAGGAGTATTATGTGTTATTGATAACTTGTTTTTTTGGCAGGCAGCTAAGTGGCACCTTTTTTTGTTTTTCATTACTCACTGTCTTCCTCTCTCCATGGCAGCTTTCATCTCAATCTGAGGCATATAAACGTTACCTGTTCAGATGGCTAGTGGTTTAAGAATAGTGTCCTGGAATGTAAAGGGGCTACAAAATCCAATAAAGAGGAAGAAATGTTTATCATACCTCAAATCACAACAAGCACATATAGCCTTTTTACAAGAGACTCACTTGATCGATTCAGAGGCTGCTAAATTGAAAAGGGACTGTGTGGGTGTTACGTTCCCACTTGGCTAGGGTACAAACGGGAAACGACACGACCAGATTGGATTTGGTATATTTGTTACCGGTGGTTTTATTGTCACTGAAACCAGGCAAAATGATGGTCACACAGATTGGCCCCACAACACGGGTCAATCTGTCACTATAATACAACACAAAGGGTCTCCAAAAGAGAGTTGCCCCGCTATAGAAAGAAAAACAAATCTCACTACTCAAGTGGAAACAAGCAATAAACAAAACGGGACTGTGGAAACACACAGCTGGTGCGGGTCTACAGGTGCTAATCACCTGGCTCTACGAAATATCCACTCACAGGAACGCTGGTCTACAGGTGCTAATCAACCTGGATCTAAGCAGTATAAACACACAGGAATGCTGGTCTACAGGTGCTAATCAACCTGGATCTAAGCAGTATACACACACACAAAAATCCTACGCTAACACAGAACCCGACGACACACTGCTACTCAGTGTGCTCGCCTAGAACCCTACTATAGACACTGCTAATCAGTGGAGCTAATACCAAAGACACACGCTAAATCTCAGAATTCACAGAATGAAGGCTTATCACAAGGATAGGGTTGAGGCATCTGACACAAAATACAGAGCCTCCCGACTGTTGTCCGTGCTCAGCCTTTATACTCCTCCCCCGGATGACGTGGCAGAAGCGAGCAGGGGTTGGGCGACGTCTGTCCAATCCCCGCGGATGTTGAGCGGTCCGGACGGCCAATGACAGCAGAGGAACTGCACAGCTCATTTAAATACACAAGCTCACAAGGTAGCAACGGCTGTAACACCCCCCCCCCTTAAAACACAAACCCCACAGGGTTTTTGTGAACCATAACACATCACACACCATGACCACAGAACACATCACTCCAGTCTGGACAGAGCATCTGCGAACACGTTCTCTGAGCCTTTCTTGTGTCGGATTTGCAGGTTGTAGTCCTGAACGATCAGAGCCCACCGCATGAGACGCTGATTGTGGTTGTACATGCGGGACAAAAAGACAATGGGGTTATGATCGGTAAACACTGCAACCGGCAAAGAACTAGACCCGACATAAACCTCAAAGTGCTGGAGAGCTAACAACAAAGCAAGGGTCTCCTTTTCAATGGTAGAGTAGCGTACCTGGTGTTTGTTGAACTTACGGGAGAAATAGCAGACAGGATGATCAACTCCCGCCGCATCTTCCTGCAGTAAAACAGCACCGGCCCCCACTGCACTAGCATCCACCTCGAGTTTAAAGGGCTTCGCAAGATCGGGAGCAGCGAGCACAGGAGCGTGACTCAAAAGTGTCTTTACACACTCAAATGCATGCTGGCACTCAGGGGTCCAAACATATTCCACCTTGGGACTTATCAACCTAGTTAGGGGTTGAGCTACAGTGGAGAAGTTACGGCAGAAACTGCGGTAGTAGCCTGCCATACCGAGGAAACGGCGGAGATCACTCCTGGTGCCGGGCACCGCACATTCAGCCACCGCAGTAACCTTAGCCTCCACTGGTCTAACTTGGCCTTGCCCAACCTGCTTTCCTAAATAGGTGACCGTAGCTTTACCAAACTCACATTTGGCCAGATTCAAAGTAAGAGACGCCTGTGCGAGCCGGGTGAATACCTGCCCCAGAATCTTCATGTGCATCTCCCATGTGGGCGTGTACACAATGAGGTCATCCAAATACGCGTTACAATGGCTTATTCCGGAGAGGACAGTATTCACCAATCTTTGAAATGTAGCGGGAGCGTTACACATACCAAACGCCATTACTGTATATTGCAGGAAACAGTCAGGCGTAGCGAAAGCGGAGATTTTTGAGGCACGGTCCGTTAAAGGTACCTGCCAGTAACCTTTAAGTAGGTCCAATTTACTGACAAATTTAGCGGAACCTAAATTATCAATGCAATCCTCCATTCTCGGCAATGGGTAGCAATCTGTTACCGTAACAGCGTTCACTTTACGGTAGTCCGTAATAAATCGCGGAGAACCATCAGATTTCGCCTCTACAAGACACGGCGAACACCATGGGCTAGAGCTCTGTGTCGCCAGGCCATTTGCCACAAGATAGTCAGCCTCCTGTTTCATAAGTGCGCGTTTGGTGGGATTGGCGCGGTACGGATGTTGTTTGATTGGCCTCGCACCTTTTACATCAATGTCATGTTTTATCACATTAGTTTGGGTGGGGACATCATGGAAAAGGCACGGGAAATCATCCACCAACTGGGTTACGTCATTCTGCTGGCTCTCCTGCAGATGACCTAACGTGGTCGGCAGTGTCTCTACCATCTCCGAGTTGCATAACCGCGCACCCGGCTGGTGATGTGAGCGCATCACCAACCCGTCGTCAGAGGAGCCGGAACTATCTACCACTATTAACGCCGAAGCAGCCACTCTTTGCTTGCATGAGCCGGCTGGCGTACTATCAGTGACGGTGCGTGCATGATATCGCTTCAACATGTTTACATGGCAGACACGCGTTTTTCGTCGTCTCTCGGGAGTACCAATCACGTAATCGGTGTCACTGAGGCAATCACGGATTTCATACGGCCCGAGGAATTTGGCTGAGAGAGCAGAGCCGGGGATAGGTAATAGTGCGAGGACCTTGTCACCTATGTCAAAGTGCCTAGGGACAGCGGCACGGTCATAATTTCGCTTCATAACCGCTTGTGAAGCGGAGAGCGACTCTCTGGCGAGTGAATTTGCTCGGTGCAAACGCTCACGGAACTGACTAACGTAATCTAGTACGTTCGTATCTGGAGGAGTATCAGCCGAAAGAAACTCATCGTGTAGGATTTTAAGTGGACCGCGGGGCGTATGGCCGAAAACGAGCTCCGCGGGACTGAATCCTAATGACTCCTGAACAGCTTCACGGGCTGCGAACAAAACGAAAGGCATTCCCTAATCCCAATTTTTTTCTGTCTCCATACAGTATTTTCGCAACATACTCTTTAAAGTCTGATGCCACCGTTCTAATGCCCCCTGCGACTCTGGATGATACGCACTGGATATCACATGTTTAACCTGCAGTGTTTGTAGGACCTGTTTGAACAATTTAGATTTAAAATGTGTCCCTTGGTCACTTTGGATTACTCGCGGAATTCCAAATGTAGAAAAGAACTTCGTCAAGGCCTTAACTACAGATGTTGAAGTAATGCTACGCAGCGGGATCGCTTCCGGAAAACGAGTCGCCGTACACATTATCGTGAGTAAATACTGTTGACCTGTTTTCGTACGTGGTAAAGGACCAACACAGTCTATCAACACCCGGTCAAAGGGCTCACCTATAGCCGGTATGGGATGTAACGGAGCCTGCGGAATTTTTTGATTAGGCTTACCGACAACCTGGCACACATGACAGCAGCGGCAGAAGCTAGAGACATCTTTCTTTAAACCTGGCCAAAAGAAATGCTTCAGAATTACTTGATACGTTTTAGTCACGCCCAAGTGTCCCGACCATTGACTTTCATGCGCAACAGATAGCACATGTTGACGGCATGGCACCGGCATGACTACTTGATGCACTACACTCCAGTCAG